CCCCCCCTCCACCCAGGGAAGACAAGCTGGCCCTAGGCGAGGGGTCAGGCAGGCAGCTGTCCTGGGGAGTCCAGCAGTTTCTGGAGGCAGAGTCAGAATGTGGGCACAGCCTACCGCTGGGGGCAGGGGCGAACAGGCCAGAGGAGGGGAGAGAGCTCTGTTCCCTCTTCCTCTCTTCTCCAGCACTGTCTTCAGAGGCACAAGCAACCGGCGGGGGCGGGGGAGATGTCGGCTGGGAGAGCTTCGTTGTTAATGAAACCCTCGCAGGCAGGTTTCGTGTGGGCATGTCCGTGTGCCCCTGTCTGCACATGTGTGGGGCACGTCTAGACCTGTGAGCTTGTGGAGTATGTCAGAGTGCATGTCTATGCGTGTATAAGTCACATGGATGTGTGTGCACGTGTGTGTGCATGTGTGTGTGTGTGCACGCACCCAAAATGCCTGAAGGAGGTGGCTCAGCCTGGAGGGACCGACAGGACCTGGCCGGCTAGGTCATCACACAATCCTCTCTGGCCCGGAGGCTGGGGCCCGGGTTGGGGCGGGCGAGCCCTCCAAGCTCCTTGGCCCGGGCCCTGGTCCTGGTCCTGGTCCCGGCAGTAGCAGCAGGTCCAGTGTGGGGCTGGACCCACACACAGCCTCGTAGGGGGGCAGGGTGTCCATGGAGATAGTGTGCAGGTCACCCTGGCCCCAGGTCCTCTGTGCCTGCTGGTGTCTGCTGGGGCTGTGGCCACTGCCTGTGGCGAGGGCGCCGTCCAGTGTGGGGCAGGAATCAGTCAGCGCGTAGGGCGGCGGGGCGTCTGTGGGCACGTACAGCTGGGTGGCCCCTGGTCCGACACACTCCTCATAGCTGTGAGAGAAGAGGTTCCTGGGACCTGGGGCCTAGGGGTGGGTGTGGTGGTCTCCTCCCAAGGGCCAGGGCCTACCCTCAAACTGCCTTGCCTGTGGGTCAGGGTGGGTCTTGTCCATGCTGGCTCCAATGAACACTCTCCCCCGAGGAGGGTCGCCCTAGAACCCTTGAGACCTGAGTTCCAAACCCCACAGCCCCCGCATTGTCAGTGCACTTCCCTGGGTCTCAGATTGCTCAGAACAGCAGTAGCCGCAGCCAGGGTCTCCTGGCTGGGCCGCGCAGCCGTGGGGCTGGGTAGGAACGACCCTAGGCTGCAGACACCCCTTGGTCTCTAGTCACTCCGTGGCTGCCTTCTAGGTTGAGGAAGGGGTATCTGGCTGTTCTGAGCCTGCAGATGCGGGACCCGTAGCACCTGTGCCCCTAGGGGCAGGGGAAAGGGTGACAGGAGGACGTGGCCACTAGTCCACGTGGAAAAGTACCAGTATTCCCCATGGGGGCTGCCTTCATGTCCAGAGCCCTGCCCTCTCACCCCCTCCCCCATGTGCCCTCCTTACCCTGGTGGAGAATCTGGGTACAGCTCCCTGAGCACCGTGGCGTCCATGTCTCCATCAGAGCTGATGTCCAAGGGTGGTGACCAGTCCTCGGCGGGGCTGCAGGCGTAACGCACCCTGTGGCTTGAGCGGCCGTACGTGTGCCCGTCGGGTGCTGCAGGGAACAGACCATCAGCCTGGGCCTCAATCAGTGCCTAGGGATAGTCCTCACGGGTCCTCCTGAGGCCACCAAGGCTCTGATCTCACCTGACTAGCCTGCCCTTCCCCAACCACAGCTGCCTTCACCCCCTCAGTGACAACCTTAGAATGTGAGCGCTCTCGCCGCGCTGGGCACGGGCTCACAGGAGGAGGTAGAGCTGGCTCTGCCCTGGTCAGCCAGGGGCGCGACGGTGAAGGCAGCTGGATCCCATGTGCCCGACTGCGTGGTTCGAATCCTGGACCTGCCAGTTTGAAAAACACACCAGGTATGTGTGCATGCCCACAATCCCAAAAGGAAAAATGGAGGAGAAAGGATTGCAGCACGGCCACCCTCCGCGGCAGGTGCTTTCACCCTTTCTCTTTCTCTGTCTCTCTCTGGTGAGCACCCTCTGGCGTATAGGAAAAAAAGAAAAAAGAAAAAAAGACGAGAGAGAGAGAGAGAGAGAGAGAGAGAGAGAGAGGGGGAGAGAGAGAGAGAGAGAGAGAGAGA